GACACCGGGTCAGACCAACGGACGGGACAAAGGTGTAGACTGCAATTTTCGTACGATACAAGAAGACAACACAACCCGAACAGACATGCTGTCACGCACTCCTACCAAATCTCCACAAGCGGGAACATCTTCCGCCGGGGCGGAAGACGGAACACCGCATTCATATGATTTAAATGGGCAAACGGAAAATGCTCGGACAACTCGCCGCGTCACCTTCAGTGACGAAATAGCTAGCCTAAGCACTGGCGACGGCATGACGATTCTAAACGGGGCAGCCGGTGCGCAAGATAACGCACGGGCAACTCGCGGATTCGGATCCGTTAATGAAACGTTTAATCTGGTAGAGCTGATGCGAGAAATGCGTGAAATGAGAGCTCAAATGAATGAGCTCATGATGAACCAACGCGAAGGGCACCGCGATCGACGCCGCGAAACATACGACCATAGCTTCGCATTAGATACATCAAGGCCTCTAGATGACACTCGTAACTATTCGGGGCGAGATCACAGTAGCTCCGCGCTGAATATTTCGAGATCGCAGGACGATATCCGTAACCAACCGGGACGGACTCATAGTTTCATGACTCATGAGCCTGATCGAGGCGCGAAAGCTAGTTCCGGAAATCGACGGAAGCTCGCGAGATCGCGTTCACGAATTTTTGGAAGCAGCTTCCTACGCGGTGAAAAACATTCATTCGTCAGACGAAAATTCGTTTTTGGAAGCCCTGATTTGTACAAAACTGAAGGGAAAAGCACGCGAAGATTTCCGCACGCGCAGCATTCGCAATTTCGCTTAATTCAAGGGCGAAATGGAAACCAAGTATTTGTGCCAGAGAAGCATTACCAGTTTGCAAAGAAAGTTTAATTCAATCAAGCAAAAGCTGGGAGAAAGCGCGAAGGATTTCGGGCGCAAAGTGGAGGACCTCGCCATAGATCTCTTCGAGAGCATGGAAGAAGGGAAAAACCACACTCTCAAGCAACAACATATTATTTACGAACATACGCAGACATTAGCATTGCAGAACTTCCAAATTGGATTAAGGGAAGATATTCAGGTGCTGGTACGCTCACAACGCTTCCGTACCATGGCGGAAGCAATAGACGGGGCAAGCGCCGAAGAAAAAACAATGGCCGATGTTCGAGGTCTTAACAAGGCCTATGAAAATAAAAAATTTAAGTTCCGAAGTGACCAACCGCAGTGTACAAAATGCGGACGGCAAGGGCATTCCGGAGATGAATGCCGTATTAAGCAGCAACTTTTCTTGCCAAAACCAGTTAAAAAGCCAGTCGGAGTGAATGCCCTAGAGAAATATTGCACACATTGCATAAAACCGGGGCATACACGACAGGAATGCTGGCCGTTACAAAAACGCACTGTGGGAACGCGTACGCGACCCGAAAAAAATGAGATTCGGAAGAAGCCGCAGGTACATACGGCCACGACGGCGATCAAAGATTCCGAAGAAGCAGGGGACTCGTTTTCCAGCAGTGAAGACGAGGGAGTCACATAAGAAAAAACAACGCGAGCTGCACGCGAAGAACGGGTTACGCAGATAAGCGGAAAACCGAGAATAAGCACTGGACTCGACCTAGTAACCCTGCCGATGCAAGAAGCAAAGAAAGGGAAAGTAAGTCTA